AATATAAATATAAATATATTAATATTATTATTATATATATATTATATATTATATTATATATATAATATATATAATATTATTAAAATTATTAATATTATTAATATTATATATTATTCAAATTAATATAATATAAATATAAATAACAATTTATTTATAATAATAAATATAAATATATTTTCCTTCATACTTTTGAAATTAATATTTAAAGGAATGATAAATGCAACGTTATAAATTAAAAAATTTATTCTAGAAATTGATTCATTTTTAGTTTACGAAAGTATTTGAATGCTCATTAAATTAATACTTTAAACAATAAAAATTTATTTTTTCTATATTTAATTTTATTATTTAATAAAATATTATATTTTATTGTTCAAAATAATATTAATAAAATACAACTATTAAAATTATATAATAATATATGTATGTATATATGTATGTATATAATATACATGTATACATATGTATATAAGTGTATATAAATTTTGAAGTAAATTTGATAATAGAAAAAAAGTGAAATAAACATATATATAAAAAGACATTGTAAATTTCTTAAAGATAAAAAATCGATGTAAAATGACGATCTTTTTATTTTCTAATGACATTCGTACATATGCATTTGCATCTAGTTTTAAATTATTGTCGTATTAAAGTAATAATAATTATAGTAATAATATGCAATTGAATGTATTTGATATCAAAAGTAAAATTTCTGATAATTTCTCAAAACATTTTGCGAAATATTGTAACTAATTTTTATTTACTATATTTAAATAAATATTTATTCAAGAACAATTAATTATTTTTCATTTAAAATATTAATTATTGGGTAATTTTTTCATTTATTTATTAAATTTATGAAAGGAATACAACGAATGAAAGAAATGTCATGATTTGATATCATCATTAGATCTTCAAGGACATCATTATTATTGATTCTGAATATGCACCTTCTGTATATTAAAAAATTTGTTTTAAATATTTTTCCTCCCTTCTTTTAAATATTTTTTCAATTCAAATACCACATAAAAAATTGTGTTAATGTAAATAAAAAACAAGAAATAGTATATGAAATAATTTAGAAAGAAAGTTTAATACAAATCAATTAAAAATTTTTTTAATATAATTAAATTATATTTGTTAATATTAATTAAACTGGTTAGGTAGATTAACTTAAAAATTACTTTATTTGTTTATGAATCAAATATTGTTAATAAAAAAATATTTATCATAAATGAAGAATCTTTATCTTTCTAAGTATTTAAAAATTTCAATAAAAATATGCTATATTTAAATAAATATTTCTGATCACTATCCAGTTTAGAAAATTAATATATCAATATATTAGCTATAAATTTAAAAAAAAGTAAAAGATAAAAAAATTAGCCTGATTTATTAAAAAAAAAACTATTAAAAAAAGAAGAATATTATATTAATAGTATAGAATTTATATTGACGACGAAATAAATTGATAATATTAAAGAAATAATAATTGAATATAATTGAATATGATATGAATTGATATTAATATTTTCTTTTATTACATTATTTTTTCATAAATCATATTTCTTTCAATAGAATTAATTTATAAAAACCATAAAATATACTTTTTAAAAAAAAGACTTTTAAACGTAGAAAATTAATAATACTATTTATAGTTGGATACATCTAACTTACATCTAATAAATAGTTTTTAATATGATCAATTTCTAATCTTTCTAATATTATCAATTAAAAATAGAATAGTTTTTAAAATTTTTTTTATATTTTTTTCGAAACAAAAATATTCTTTTTATGTTATCTTTCTTCTATTTGTTGAAATTAAAAATTTGTTATAGAGATAAAAAAATATTTAAAAATATATGAATATATTATTTTTTATTATTTCTATATTTTATTTTATATTTAATTAATCTACTTTTGGTATTTTTGTTCAAATGATATCTAAAATGATTTTCTATAAACTAATTTTTTTATGATTTTGATATTTAAAAATCCATATTTCATATTTTTTATTTTTATGGAATATTTAAATGAAATATATTGTTCATAGTATCCATTCTTTTACAATCTTAATTACGAATATAATGTTCAACAAATTTTTTATTAATTTATTAAAGGTAAAAATTTTGTGATAAATCTGATTTTTCGATTTTTTATTTAAGATTTTCTTTTAAAAAATATATATATATAATATATATTTAAAATATATATTTATTAAATGTTAATGTTTGACTTTCCTCTATATTATTAAAGAAAGAATTACATAAGTATTTATTTGATAATTAAAATTTTAAATATTTAAATAAAATAAAGTTTGGATAAAATAAAATTAATATTGAAAAATATTGAAAATCATAAAATATATTATTTTTTGAAAGGAATATATGTTATAATTAACGAATCCATTTTATACTAAGATATCATTTAAGATTAATGTACTAGTATATATATATATTTGAGTAATTAGTTATTTGATATAAAAATATTTACGTTTTATAGAAAAATTATGAATGTTCTTGCGTCATTTAAATAAAATATTTTATTTTTTTACTTCTTTGTCCAATTATGTGTGCTATTTTTTTATTTATTATATTTTTAATTTCTTAGTAACAGTCATATATAGAGAAGGATATATAAAATTGTGCCAAAAAATTGTGAATAAAGAAAAAAATGGTATCGATACAACTAATTAAAAAAATAATAAAAATTCTAATTCTAAAATTAGGATATTTAAATAAAAAAAAAATCAAAAAGATAAATAGAAATACAAAAAAGTTAAAAATACAAAAAATTAAATTATAAAAAATTAGAAAAAGAAATTTTATTGCAGAGAGATCAATTATTTTCAATACGATGTATATAGAACTAAATTAATTAAGAAATAAGAAACAAATTATATAAATTAAAATGATCACTGAAATTATTATTAAGTTTAAACATCATTGAAAATGTTTTTAAGAATATTTATCAAGGTAAATTTATATGAATAATTATCAATTTTCTCATCAAAAAAATTTTATAAAGATCAAATGGAAAAAATATATTTCATAATTTTATCTAAACATTCATAAATTATTAAAACATATATAATATATTAAATCATATTTTTCAAGTTATAAATAAAAATGATGAGCATATATATATATATATATATATATATATATATATATAATATTATATTATATTATTTATAATATTAATTCTAAATTAATATAATTTAATTATATAATTTAATATTTTCTATGTTAAAATATTTACTCCGTTTTACTAGGATAATGAATTGAAATATGTAATAATAATGATCGAGATTTATGTTTCAAAAATTATGATATTTTTTGCTTATAATATATATATAAATTATTGTATTTAATATTATAATAAATTACTATAAAAATAATAGAAATTTAAAAATTATTAAATAATAAATAAAATATAAAACAATATAAAACAATATTTTTATTGCAAAAAAAATATACAAGTTATCCTAGATTTGCAATAATATGTATTGAATATTATCCATATTCTAAATAAGCAAAAATTGTTATATAAATATATTCACTTTATAAAAAGATTATAAACAAAAATAATAAATGAAATTCGAATAGTAATAGACGTAATTATTGCTGTATGGTTATGATAATAATTAAATTTAAATTAAATTATTTAAAATTTTTTTCTTAAAAATGAATAAGTCGAGGAGCGTCAATATTATGGTCTCTAAAATTATTCAATTTCATATTATTTGATTTTATCTATGGAGAATTTTAAAGAAAAAACTTTGAAATAAAAATAACATAAATAAAATAATAATAAATGAACTGATACAAAGAATTAATGATTCATTCAAATTGGTAAAACAAATGAATTACAATTATAATAATATACAATATGTAATAATATACACAATTTATAATAATACAATTTATAATAATATAATTTTAATTACAATTTATAATAATATAATTTCTATTTTAAACTGCTATCAATATTTTATTGTTAAAGATAATGGTTATTTTAAACTACAATACTAATTGCAACTATGTATTTAGTATTAAAACTTAATAATAATAAACAAAAATTAATATTAATTAATGATTACAGATATTAATGTTAATAAATATAGCTCGCAGG